CTTCTCAGTAGCATGGGCTGTAACACACCTTCTCAGTAGCATGGTGGGGGGGCTATAACGCACCTTCTCAGTAGCATGGTGGGGGGGCTGTAACGCACCTTCTCAGTAGCATGGTGGGGGGGCTATAACGCACCTTCTCAGTAGCATACGTCCACAGGCCCACAGTGTGAGAGCTGTTAGCCTCCAGCTGGGCCCGGTCACAGCAGCCCTCGATCCTCTGTAGCACCTCCAAGCAGCTAAGGAACACCCAGCAGTCCAGTGCCCCCTGTGGGACGGACACCTGGCGATATGGGGGGGGGGCATTAGAGATCTAAGACCAGACTATTACCTCCTATTTCCACCAACACGGAGATGATGCTGGTGCCGGTGCTGGGCTGGTCCTCGCTTGGTGCCTTTTGAGAACCAGCCTGCGTTTCCACTAGTTTCAAAAAAGAAGGGAACAGAATTTTTACATTGTAAAGTAAAAGTTAATCTACATTTGTTTTTTTTAATTTATTTTGCTGAACCGAAAAAAAAAAAGTTTGTGAAGTATGACTCACTGAGTCCTGACTCCATTGTCTGTATTCACTTTTGTTTCATTTATCTCAGAATTTAAAAAATGATGTAACCTTATTCCGCTAAGAAGCTGGCAAGTTGTTTGACTGCCAGCACCACCATAGACTAGCTATATTGGTTATGGATTGAATTTTCCGGGTTTACGGAAGGTTTGGACGCCGTAGCCTGTCCCTCTTTTGCTGACATTACAGTGCCACATTCTAAGCCCAGCTTTTCTGTGATGCCATGCTGGAGCAGTTTTTTTCTGGCCCAGGGCCATATTTTGCAATGGAAACGCGTGCCAGATTGGGGAAAAGTCCGGCATCACAAGGGTTATGGCTGTCAAGGCTGAATTTCGTGATGATCTTCCTGTGTTATTTAAGACAGAATAATCAGCTAATGCAGCCAACAGCATCAGGGTGTACAGGAGACACTGGTGGAGTAATGATGAGAGGTAGAAGGAAGGAAGACAGGATAAGGAAGAGTAGGGGTAGAAGATAAGCATTCATGAATAAGAGATGACGGAAATAATGGAGAAATTTAAGGACAAGTTTGGGACAGGAGAAAAACTACAGAATGGGGAGCTAAGGAGACTGAATTTAGTGGAGAAAAGTTAATGAATTCTCCAAAAATAATCTAATTCCATTTCACACTATGGACTGCACTACAAATAGTTACAAATGGGTCAGAGAGAAAACTGTATGGTAAGTAAACAAATACTCAGAAAATAAAAAAAGCCCAAGACTCACTGCCAAACTTATCCCTAAACCAAGAATCTTAGCCCAAAAAAGGCTCCTTGTTCAGGTCATGACCCTTACACAGTTAGCTGGGATTAAAACAGTGCTAACCTGTCTCAGAGGAGCAGGGCAACAAACCCAAGTCAAACTAAACCACAGATCATAGAAATAAAACCCTATCCAGAGCACGGCCCAGAAACCAGCACTGCAGCCTCCCCCAGTTCTATCAGCCTTCATGTTCCCTATCCGTTTGAATGAGATTCCTCTGGGTACTTCAGCTTATTCCCACAGTCTTAACATGAATTTAAGAGCACTAGCATCTCTATTGGCACTTTTCCACTGCCACCAAGAACCAGTGTTCATTTTGACAGCAAATTTTTACTTAGTTTTAGTCATAGTCTTTTGAGTAAAATGTAATTTAGTTTCAGTCATAATTTAGTCATCTAAATTATTTTGGTTTCACTCTAATTTGAAACACAAACTTGTGTTTATTTACCCAGAAACTGGAGTACTGTAAAATCAGTATTGCCATTAGCGCAAAAATAAAATCACTTCAAAAGAAAAAAGTGCATAGGCTATAATGCCACCAGGCCTACTCCCTCTGAATATTAAAATGAAAATATTTGTAATATTTTTATTCGCTATTGTTTGCCGTTAAATGTTTCACCTGAAATTCTCAAATAAGTTCAAAGGAAAAGACCAATAATGGTCTCAGGGATATATAATCATTATCAAGAAAAAAAATCCAAACACTGAAAACATACTTCAGTAGCAGGAAGTGCAACCATTCTATTTTGGCATTTTCAAAATAATTACCCCAAGGCAACAATTCTATTAGTGTATATAGCCAAAATCAACTCTCCTCTCTTTCAGGTGACTTCATGTTCGTTTAAGTTTCCCCTTTTTAACAACTGTATAAAGTAATGTTATTTGTTATATAAATCAACTCAGGTGAAACTAAAAAATGTATGTTTTCAGGGTTGCCAAATCTCAAGCATCTGGCATAACATTCACACTTTCAGACTCATACAGGAAATGTTATGGCAAATCTATATTATTCCATTATAAACCTAAAATTACCTACGTCGAAAGTGTATTTACACGGTTAAATACAAAAGCAGACTATTTATAAGGTAAGAATGGTTACATGTGTGCAGACATCTCGAACTGAAAATCTCACTCCAGCCAGTTGGCCGAAGTTGGCAACCCCGCGTTTTATTTGAAATGAAAAGTAAAATGCACTGTTTTCACCTGAAATGGCTTGTCATTCCATTTGCGTTGTTATTCCGACAAGTATAAAACGAATGAGAAAAACATGTCACGTTTTATATCTTTTCGAAATAATATGACCGCCCATATCCTACTCTAATAGCGATTGAAGTGATAAGTTCATATGTATTTATATTAAAACGAGACTTTAATTTTATTACCGGCACATGTGGGATTATTGAAACCAATACTTAAATCCATGAACACTAAAATATATAAACATAAAAACGATTGTATTAGGGTTTTACGGTTTAAGTTAAGCACTTAAACATGCATAATTCAAACATGCATAATTTTCACATTTTATTTGATCTCATTTTGAAGTGCAGCCATACTTTCAAAATGTCCTTTTAAAACTAGTAAATGAGAAAACATCATACATATCGGCAGTCATACATACAGCTCTGTCACGTGACAATAAATATTGTCAAAAAGTTTTTGAATTATACTTAATTTGATTTGACAGTCAGGTATTGATTACATGCAATGTTGATACAACTAACAGGCTACTTAAATATATATTACACTAAATAGTTAGACATTAGGATCTTCCAGACCATGGCTTCAAAAAATATTCTCTAACTGGATCTGTTTAAATTTTAGTTGAATACACCTGCCTTACGCAAACTACATTAGCTCTGATTGTATCTCATATCTGGCAAACATTTTCGTCTTGTTTTTATTCGTTGACGAAAGTGTCAATACACTTCGTCATAGTCTTAGGCCTCGCAAACTCATTTTTATTTAGTTATCATCTCGTTTTAGTCTGAAAATAAAGATCATTGACGATAACGAAAAATTTTCGTTAACAAAATTAACACTGCCAAGAACCGAGCTGTACTGCAAAGAGACGGTTTTCCATTGTAAATTACATGAGCCACAAACGAATTGACATGGCCCTGCTTACTAGCAGAGCTGAGAGTGACCAAATCGATCTGGGTGCGTCACCACCATCTGATTGGTCTTTTGTGCATGGATTATCTGAAGGAAAAAAAGGACATATTCTACATATTATTCATTATTATTAGTATTTGCACATTGTGATGTATTGATACATTTCTGATAAATCAGAACTTGAAAATTTCCAACCTCCTACTTCTTAAAAAAAAAAAAAGCTGAATGGAATGGATTCATAATTCAAATTTACACAAGCTAATGCTATTTCCACTAGCATTTGAGGCCAACATAACACGGCGATTCATATACACATACTAGTGGAAATTAGCATACAGTAATCAGGATTTAGACCAAGTGCACAGTAAACTTTTACATGACTGTTGCTCTCCAAACGCCATTACTGAGTCAATCCTTCTGCGAGCTGGAACCGCACTGTAACTAGTGTCCAACAAACATGTTAGACACGGCCTGGTTCCAGTATGGCAGTGGAAATGTGCCATAAATGTCCTTTAATGTGTGATGTGTGGCAGTGCTGACAATTTCCAAGCTCACCACAACCATGTAACGGCTAAGCTGTTATAGAAGATGGATAGATAAGCTGGACTGATACTAGAAACTGAAAAATAAAGAGACAATAACAGATGGAGATCCCAGTCAGATACAGCCAGACAGTGACATACAGGCGGTCAATAAACACAGACAATAAATGACACAGGCAGACCGGGCAGCTCAGAGAAGCTCTGTGGTCACCATGAGATGGAAATAGGCAAAGCAAAGATGCAGCAGGCAAAATCCTCCCAGGGAAACTTCACTAAAATCCAGAAATTCCGCTCAGGAGCCAGAGGAGGTACCACCCCTGCTGTGGCAGCTACCCAATGTCCGGCCAGGACAGATCAGACTCCGAGGTCGGCAAATGTCAGAGACAGGGAGTCCAGCAGCCAGAATATACACAGCTACTGCGTGAGGATGCTGTTCATGCATTTGGAAAGCAGACTAATATCCTTCTCTCCCAATACCAAATTTAAACAAAATGTATCTGCTTATTCATTGGTCTGTCTGATGTGAATTTGAGACTCTATGTTAGGATCATACAGATGGAGATCGATGTTGGGCAGTGGGTGGGGGGCTCATACCTCCAGCAGCCGCAGCTCCTGCACGCAGGTGTGCAGCAGCTCTAGGGCGCGACGTGTCACCTCCCATGGCCGCAACAGGAACACCAGCAGGGTGCACTGCCGCGAGAACAGGTAGCTGCGCAGGTCCAGCAGACTGGCCTGGCTGTGCTGGATCTGCTCACGCTTCTCCATGTCGATGGGCCTGCGCAACAGCAACCCGTTCCAGCTGCGTAGGGGCTGGCAAAATGAACCCAGCCAGTTGGCTCCATCTGCGCAAATGGACATGAGAGGGAAATGGAGATGAACAAACAGTGGATACAGCATGTGTGTGTGTGTGTGTGTGTGTGTTTTTCCCTTATGTGACACTGCTCCCACACCACAGTGACGCATGTGTGGCCTTACAGTGTTAATTTTGACAGAAAATTTTTATTTAGTTTTAGTCATAGTCTTTTGATTAAAATGTAATTTAGTTCCAGTCATAATTTAGTCATCTAAATTATTTTAGTTTTAGTCTAGTTTTAGTCGAATAAATATAAGATAATAGTCGACTAAAAGTACACCTGATTTAGTCGACTAAAATGAAAAGTGCAAAGTATAATGTTTAAAGTTTCCCTTCAATTTCTGAAAGTCATTATGTTCACCAAGATGAAATGAAACCAATGTTAAGGAATGGTGTTAAGGTCTGACTGTGCAGTACACAAACACAGATTTCACTCTTATTTGAAACACAAACATATGTTTATTTACCCGGAAACTGAGTACTTTAAAATCAGTATTGCCATTAGTGCAAAAATAAAATCACTTCAAAGAAAAAATGCATAGGCTATAATGCCACCAGGCCTGCTCCCTCTGAATATTAAAAGAAAAATATTTAAATAAATATTTGTAATATTTTTATTTGCTATTGTTCACTGTTAAATGTTTCACCTGAAATTCTCAAATATGTTCAAAGAAAAAGACCAATAATGGTCTCAGGGATTTATCAAGAAGAAAAAAAAAATCCAAACATTGAAAACATACTTCAAGGGCTATCTGTTGCAGGAAGTGCAACCATTCTATTTTAACATTTTCAACAGCAAAATAATTACCCCAAGGCTACATTTATATTAGTGTATAGAGCAGGGTTATTCAAATCGCGGTCCTCGACATCCGAGCACTGCTGGTTTTCCAGCCTTCCTTTACCTGTCAGTCAGGTGTGAAGCCTCTGACCAATCAGAATCAGTAATTATTAAACAACTACCTGGCAGAACTGAAAACAAGGCCTGGATTTTGAATCGAGGTCCAGATTTGAAGAACCCTGGTATAGAGTCAAAAATCGACTCTCCCCTCCGTCAGGTGATTTCATGCTCGTTGAAGTTTCCACTTTTTAACAACTGTATAAAGTAATGTTATTTGTTATATAAAACAACTCAGGTGAAACAAAAAAATATACGTTTTCAGGGTTGCCAAATCTCAAGCATCTGGCATGATACTCACGCTTTCACTCACGCAGGAAATCTAAATTATTCCATTATAAACCAAAAATGAGCTAAATCAAAAGTGTATTAACACGGTTAAATACAAAAGCAGACTATTTACAAGGTAAGAACTGTTACGTGTTCTCGAACTGAAAATCTCAAGTAGGCAATGAAAAGTAAAATGCACTGTTTTCACTTGAAACGGCTTGTCATTCCGTTTGCGTTTACTCAAACAAAGCTAATATGCGGAAAGACATATCACGTTTTACAATACGTTTCGAAATAATATGACCGCCCATATCCTACTCTAATAGCGACTGAAGTGATAAGTTCATATGTATTTATATTAAAACGAGACTTTAATTTTATTACCGGTGTGGGATTATCGAAACCAGTACTTAAATCCATGAACACTAAAATATATGACATAAAAACGATTGTATTAGGGTTCTACGGTTTAAGTTAGGCACTTTATTCAAACATGCACAATTTTCACATTTTATTTTATCTCATTTTGAAGTGCAGCCATACTTTTAAAATGTCCTTTTAAAACTAGTAAATGAGAAAACATCATACATATCGGCAGTCATACATACATGTTCAGCTCTGTCACGTGACAATAAATATTGTCAAAAAGTTTTTGAATTGTACTTAATTTGATTTGACAGTCAGGTATTGATTACATGCAATGTTGATACAACTAACAGGCTAATTAAATATATATCACACTAAATAGTTAGACATTACGATCTTCCAGACCTTTGCTTCAAGAAATATTCTCTAACTGGACCTCTTTAAATTTTAGTTGAATACGCCTGCCTTACGCGAACTACATTAGCTCTGATTGTCTCATCACAGGCAAACATTTTCATCTTGCTTTTATTCATTGACGAAAGTATCAATACACTTCATCATAGTCTTATGCCTTGCGAAATTTTTATTTCATTATTGTCTTGTTTTAGTCTGAAAATAAAGGTCGTTGAGGATAACGATGACGAAAATTTTTCGTTAACAAAATTAACACTGGCCTTACATTTGCCGCACACCTCATTGTCTATGTTCACACATCCAGAGTTACCTCCACCCAAGACCCCCAAATAAGCGAGCACTCCCCCTAATCACCAACCAAACTCACCCCACCCCCCACCCCCCGCACATCCACAGCCTTCATGTTTTAAAAGTCACACCGATAGGGACTGGGTGAAATACAATGAAGGAATAAAAGCCAGAGGAGGAGGCCAGATTTGCTCCAGCTGTGAAGTGACAGATGTGCACATGCATTTTGAAAACAGGAGCGCGCTGTCACACCCTTTGGCTGGAGCATCAGGACAGAAACTCTCCTCTCGGTAATCAGGAAGGAGGTAAAGAAAAGGAGGTAAAGAAGGGTGCTCACCTCCGGCCCCGAAGTTCAGGACGTACTGTGTGAAGAGAGCATCCAGCTCATCATACTGGACCAGGGCATCCTCAAACTGCTGCAGCATCTCGAAGACAAAGGCCAACTCCTCCTGTGTGTGTGGGGGGGGAGGAGGGGGTGAGATGAGCTGGTTTCATGCTATACATACACAAGCAAGCGCAGACACCGCTGCCACACCTGCACCATGAAGTAGTCACAGAAGCTCCAGCCTGGCTCGGTCCTCTTCTCCCGCAGCGTGCGCATGTCGTCCTCGAACCTGCCCAGGTTGCGCGTGAAGGACAAGAGCAGCAACGTGCGCAGCTTTGTCAGGAAGGAGCTCCAAGACTCCTGGGAGCGGGAAGAGTCCTTCAGGGGGTCCGACAGAACCACACATCTGGGAAAACAGAGCACCAGTAAGACAAGGGAGGGCCCATCTGTAGCCAACAAAACAACAATTCTGTTCTCAACCACCCCCCACCCACTACACTGCACTCAGACCTTACTGCAGATCTGCTGCTCTTCTCCACACCCACTTTGACTTCCTGTGTGTCCCCCATTTAGTGTCCCCATCTCCATTTTGTATAACCATTCTCCATTGCGTCCTTCCACGTGCATCTGTCTGCCTTCCTGGCTGGAACAATTCTCAGAGGGCGTTACACATTCAGCATCAACAGTGGAAGATACAGAGAGGAGACAGGACACAGGGGCTCTGGGCCAACCATGCAGGAGAGAAGAGCCAGAGAGGAGTGATGGCCAGACACACAGAGACCCTGTATGGACCTCACTTAGATGATTGTAGAACCAGCAGAAGAGAGTTACGTAGTCAAACACAGACAAGCACGCTCACTTCCCATCAGCCTCCCTGCCTCGGTCCTGCAGACGTCAAAGGTCCCTCGCTCGCGCACTGCCCACCTGTCGCTCTGCTTGTTGCAGAAGTCGTTGCGGATCTTGTCCACGATGGAGGTACGGGGCAGGATGTTGGTCTTGTTCTTCTTCTTGGCGTCGCTCTCCACCACCACGATGAGCCAGTCCAGTGTGCTGTGGAGACGCAGCAAGCTCTGCCACCGCACAATGTCTTCCTTCACGGAAGCCTTGTACGCCTCTGTGTCCTGCAGACCGACACGGGCACAGCTCGGTTCACATTAATGCCAGCAAAGCACCCAGTTGTGAGCTAACCCCACACACCGCAGACATGCAGCACGTGGCTCGTTCAGACTGCCTGTTTTCAGACTTCAGAAAATCCATTGCAATGCACTTTTTGCTAAAAAATAAAAAAAATAAAATCAGGACGGCTACAGGAAGGCAGCTCCTAACCACCGGGCAGGAAGACGCTAAGACTTGATGGTAGAAGGACACCAGCTTTGTATGGGAGAACTTCATGATTTTGAACAGAAGGAATGACAGATTACCATAGTCTTTGCTCTTAAGCATGTATTTGTAGTAGGGCAGTAACTACACACGTATTCATCGTCTGCCGTTCAGTTATATAATTTTCGGTTTAGAACACACAATGAAATGAATACATACTTTGAGATGGGCAGAACCTAAATGCACAAGATGATGTTCAACACCGAAAACATTATTCTCATTGTAGTTGTGAGCTGGTTTAGGCTAGTGCTGGTTAGTCAGTCTTATTGGTGAGGCGGGAGTTCGAAGACCCTCCCACATCACTTAAATCACTTAAATCAGTATTTCGGTTTCCCAATTAATTACACCGAAGACAGAATACTTAACACCAAAACCATCCATCAGTGCTGTGACAACACTGGAGTATGTTGCTGGAAACACATCAAATATACTAACCCATTTGAGATGCCATTATCAAAGTGCATGTGTGACCAGAGCAAAGCAGAGGCGCCTCTGCAAACCCATGACATTTACGGTGCTGTTGCCAGGATATGGACAGTTTATAGCTACAGAATTGGAATGGGCGATACCACTGATTTCTAATTATATCCAATACAATGTGGGGGGGGGGAACCAATCTTCTCTCCTTATGAGCAGCCCTGTCTGGTAGCAGATATTGTCCAGCTCCCTATAATAATATAACATAAATATAATATATTGCAGTCATGTTTCGGTTAATAATGGGGATCAATTCTCAGAGAAGCATCATTAGGTAATTTCGTTGTGCAAATGTCATAGTGTACAAGAATCTAGATGGTATAGCTGACTACACACCTATACTATACAGTATAGCCTAAATAATGATTAAAGTACAAAAAGTACAGTACAGTAAATTAAAAAGTACAGTATAGTAAATACATAAACCTGTACCCATACCTGTCTGTTGATCAAGTATTGCGTACTGTACATAATAGTATGTGCTAAAACTGGCAGAGCAGTGGGTTAGTTTACACTAGCACCACCACAAACACATTAGTAATGTGTTGCACTACAGCATTATGACAGCTACAACATCGCTAGGCCGTAGGAATTTTTCCAGCTCCATTATAAATCGTATGTGACTACTGTCATACATCTGGTCCGTCGTACACCAAAACGTTGCTATACGATGCCTGACTAATGTAATGTAAACATTTCATTTATAGGCAAAAATAAAAAAAATTGTTAGAATCAATTCTCTACACTAAGAAATTCAGATTGAAAGAATTAATATTCCAGTATGGATGCACACATCCCTTCTATAGTTATGCAATCATACTAGGAAGTCAAGAACACGGGATTTAAAAGGGATTTAGTTATTATGACTGTTATAATGTAGTCTTATTACTGATCATACATACTTTTATTTTGCACAAATAAGCATCTTTTAGGTTGCGCTATACAGTCATTCCCTGATATCAGACAACGGGTGTATCCCACCTGCTTCGTTTTTCCTTAGGATGACACAGGCCTGGCTGTCCCTCCCTCCATCCCCCTCCCCCCTCCCCACACCCTGTGAACACACATGCACATCTCTAAAACATGTGTGCATGTAGTAAAAGCAGCCTCACAAAGTAGCCCATCCAGCAGATAAGCGGGAAGAGGACCTCAGGGAAAGCACTCACACAGCAGTCTGTCCAGTATATGTGGAGAAATGGAAAGGTGAGTAGCGCCTTATTTCCTTCCTTGGGAAGTAGTTCCTCCTTGAACTGAACAAAGTTGGCCTCTAAGTGAATCATCTTCGGAGCTCGTCCATATGACCTGTGTGAGGGAGGAGCTTGTCAGCGAGGCATCACTGCATTCTCACACACACTGACACTAAAGGTATCCACTGAAGATTTGCAACACTCTATTCAGCACCTCTAAATGCAAGCTCTTTAGAAATATACATGCATACAAAGAATATCCCAAGCTCAGATTATAAAAGTCCAGGTCAGACGTATACTGCATCGCTGTCTCACAGACAGGAAGACACACAATGATTTCTGCTTCCCTGGTACATAAAATGTGCTGAATACCTACTTGTCATTCTTTTCTAAAAATCTAATGGGGTTTTTCCACTGCCACCACAAACTGAGCCACTCGATCCATACTGCAAATAGACGGTTTTACATTATAAAATGTGTGAGCCATACCTGACCTGTTTCCATGCTAGTAAGTAGTGACCAAACTGAGTTGGTTGTGTCACCACCATCTGATTGGTTGAAATGCACATTACCATGATCTGCCTTGATATGCATGAATTTTTCCAAGAAAAAAAGGGAATATTCGACATATTATTCATTATTATTAGTAGTGCACATGATGATATGCCAGGGCATTCCCGATAACCCAGAATTGGAATATTCTCAACCTCTTACTTTTTTAAAAAAAAAAAAAAACAGTTGAACAGAATGGATTCGTAATGCAAATTTACACAAGCGAATTCTAATTCCACTAGCGTTTGATACCAACATAATACAGTGACTGTCACCAATGTACTAGCAGAAATTAGCACATAGTAAATCATGATGTACCAGCCCAGAAGTCTCAAACTACCAGCCCAGCAAGACAGATTCCCTCGGCCTGCAGCATGTTTTTATTTCACTATTTAATCTGGCCCTCAAATCAATCTTTACCTTGTACTTGGGATAAAATGGTTATCAGTTTCATGGTAAAATTCTCTGTGGTTAGTTTCAAATTTTAATGATAATTAAAATCGTGGTTGGTTACCGAGCTTTGAAAAACTTGTCCAGCACCAACCAAAGGCAGTTTCCAAGACGCAAGCACAGCATGCAACATGGGTTAGTTACAGCGCTCTGGAGATGTTTCAGCCTATAAAGAGGACTAAATCTGGTGTGGTCGTATTTTGGTTTTCAATCTTCATCACGACCACCCACTACTTCATAGCGAATGCCAGACAAGTTAACTTTTAGCTCAATGAATGATGATGGAACTTCGGAATGGGGGAAAAAATGTCATGGTTTGCCCGTCTAACTCGCTAATAGTTTGTCAATAGTGTACAGTGAAGCTTTCAGTGTTACCACCTCTTGTAAGAACATCACAAGTTGTCAGTGGTGTAGTGGAGACGGCACTTTTTTTGCCTCAGCCGCAGAACTAGTTGAACGCCCAATTGCTAAGAATGAATTCCATGTACGTTTGTATTTGTAAATTCCTGAAACAGAACAGTTTAGACCAGTTAGATTACTTCTTCAATATGAATTTTCCAGCATAACTATGATTTGACTGCATTATTTTATTTGTTTGAAGTTCTGTAAATAGCTGAAGGAGATTATATGGTTTTCATATGTTTACATAGGCATTGGCTATGTCATTATTTTCAAGTTTATGCAAGTAAAACGTGCATAGTGCTGCTAATTGTATTTGTGGTTTTCAATATAGAACTTGGTGAAATGAATGCAGTTTGTGTATCAGTACTTTAACATTTTCAGCACATTTTAATAATACTGTGATAATTCTGGTTACTATAATCATGATATTAAATTTTCATACAGTTTCTTCTCTACATTGTACTATTGTATTCTTCCTTTAATTGATCAGAGGCCTTTTTTATAGGTGAATTTAAATTTTTTTTTGTGTGTAAAAACAGTTTTGTGTGTGAGTTCTCACGTGCCCCCTTGGGGGAACACCACATACCTAGTGGCCCCCATGTAATTTGAGTTTGAGAACCCTGATGTGCACTATGTGAACACTAATAAATGTCTCTTTGGTTTATGTCACTGTCACTCTCACAACCCGGCAACGCATTTACCGAGCCGAGCCTCCTGCAATGGAAAATCAAAGCAAGCTGGAACTGCACTCTAAGTAGCGTCTGTTTGGGGTATGGGTTGCGTATGGCCTGGTCCCTGTATACCAGTGGAAAAAAGCCATTAGACTGAGAGCCACATACAAAGAAATACTACAGATAGTACATCTTCCAGAGAAGGGTAGGGAAGTCAATTCTGTCCATTTGGAATTAATTACGGCTTTACGGTCTCTCTCGTTTCCAGCATGCACCAGGTGCTGTTACCTCCTCCACTCCATGGGCTCCCGGGGCAGCTGCTGGGTCAGGGAGTTGTAGAGAGACATGAACAGAGCCTGGTCCCCAGCACCTGCAAAAGGTAACAGCACAAACTGGGCCTCATTCCACTCAAACCACATCTGCCAGGCCCAGACCTCTAGGAACATCTTTACCCATGCCCATGAGAGCCCCCCCCCTCAAAAAAAAACACATGGTCACACACAAACACACTCCCACTCACTCAGTTGCTGCAGGATCTCAAAAGATAAAATTTGCTTTAAAAAATAGTAAGTATCAAAGACAACAAATCTGCGCTCGCGCACACACACATAAACAAACGCACACATTACTTGTTTGTACACACACATATATATAAAACAGAAATAAATATCAATCCACAGTTGCCTATTGATTAGGAACATTTCCTTTCCGGCAGGACAGATAACCACCTCTAAAACACGAGGTAACATCCCACTGAAAAGACAGCAGGTGGTGCAGTACTTACAGAGCTGAACACCTGACCAAGCAGTGCAGGGGGCTTGCCGCAGTAGCCTTCAGCGAGCCACTTAAGCCAAGCCACCACATAACAATTATTGCACAAACATTACATGCCAAAGATTCCAGTCTGCCGACTCACTGTGAAAATGCAGCCCTGAAGACAGCAGAATTACTGCTATGCTGCTGCAGCAGTAACATTCCTCACAATCCAGATATGTTGTAACAGGCACGTGCCCAAGACTTTGCCGGATGAGACACGGCTAAATAAGCATAACATAGAGACGTCAAACATCATTAATTACAAGCATGGTAGAAAGCTTCCTCCCTGCTGACTAAATATGACTCATAACCTTCAACTTTCCTCCAATTATACTATTGGCTGCAGAGTGAAACAACTCAGCAGGTAACCACTGAAAGCTGGGGACACCAGCAGAGGTCAAGGAGTCACAGGTCTGGGTTCAAGCTCACGATTCCCTCCTTGTACCCATCCATCTCCTTTAAGATGCAGTAACTCAATAATGCGGGAAACATATCTTCACTGGGCCTCACCATTTAATCAAATACAACACCCAGGACCTAAATATCAGTCAATAAACAGAAGTCTGGGAGACTTGGTAAAGGGATTTTAAGGGACACACATCCTCTACCCATCCCCCCCCCCCATCCCCCCTCATCAATAAGTCTTACATGCAGTCATGTTTTCCATACATAACAACCACACCTCAACCCAAAAAACTTTTTCTTAGGGTATCACACAAGGGACTCCAACCAAAAGACCTTCTGGTCCCAGCTACGGACTGCATATCTTTTATCAGTCCATAGTGGACAGTGTGCTTTTCTACAATGTGGCCTGCTGGGGAAGTACTGTGATGCCAAAGGCCTGAACAAACTCATTAGGAAAGCCAGCTCCATCACCGGACTGACACTGGGCCAACTAGAGGCAGTAGCAGAGAAAAGGATGTTGGCAAAATTGAACAATATTATAAACAATTCTGCCCATCTGATTCAGGGGGCACTATCCTGGAGCACATTCAGCCATCGGCTCATTCCACCACAGTGTGCTTTAAAAAAAATAATAAATCTACTTATGATCATTTCTGCCTGTCTCCATGAGACACCACAACACCTCCTCCTTAGATGTGCCCCTCCCAATCTACAGGCATAACACTCCATCCCACCTTGTTACAATACAACCTGCTGCTTTCTGTTCCAGCTGCACACAATTTATTGCCACATAATTACTATTCTTACCTTTAAATGCTTACTTTTAGAATCACATTCTGTTTTTCAGAATAATTCATTTATTTGTGTACTTTTTAAATCTGTTTGCACTACATTTACTTTGTTTGGCAGTAGATGTATGTTCATCTGTGCTCTATGTTCTTGCTGCTGTGTTCATCAGAATTTCCACCTGGGATCAATAAAGTGAATCTTAATCATAGCTGCCCCTGGCCTCTTACAACCTCACATGGAGAGCTAACCCTGTGTGCCTGTAATCACAAGGTTGCTGGTTCAAACCCAGCTTCAGTACATCTGTGGGTCCTTGAGCAAGGCCCTAAACCCCCAGCTCCCTGGGCGCCGGTACGGGTGGTTGCCCTTCGCGGACAACTTACTCTACAAAGAGCAAGTTGAGGGAGGCATAAAGACAATTTCCCCACGAGGATCAATAAAAGTATTGATTATTATTTACATCCTTAGCTGGAACTAGCTGGCTTAGTCACGTGGTATAGACAAACGAGTATGTGTCCTTTTTTTTGGACTTACCCTTAATCTTAGTTACTAAAAATGTCTCTTAAAAGCTATAGCTGGGGTGCAAAGTGACAGCGTATTCCGATTTGACAGCAGGCTAATAAAAAAGAAAAACACTTGAAGGGGAGTTGCAATCATGCACCAAAAATGGGAAGCTGCGGGGAGGTTTTGTCTTCACACCACAGTAACAAGATAATATTCACCAGCAAGGCAATGAGTCAGGGGACATGTTACAAAAGAGACACCCCGATCTCGAGGCTAGAGGGCGTGACCTACCAGCACACCTGACGGCAGCTAAATGTGCACGGCTCTGCTTTCATATTGTGGTTAAAAAGTACAATGTAGTATGTTGTCGGCGCATTTAAACAAAAACGTCCTGAATTGTCAGCTTTCCCTTATGATGACTCGCACGGCCCTCCTTTTCGGCAGCACATTCAGGCACATTTCTGAAGATTCGATCCGATACTCCTTAATCTGCACATGGGCCTCCTATCATACCTGGGCAACGTCAGAGGAAAAGCTAGACGCTTGACTAGTCGCTTTACTTCACCAACGTATCGCCAAGCTGGGGAAACTGCTTACTCAGTTGCGGTTTGGCAACAGTGAAGGTATCTTGGTTAAGGGGCAAATTAGGCAGATAGCCGTACGGCAACGTTTTAAATAGCCAGGTGAACGTCTCGTTTGCTTGGGGAACAGACTACGGAAACTATACTTCTTTATTCCTAGGAAACATTACTAGCAGGACTGAAAGCAGGTTAAATACAAAGCTAACTATCGTACTCGAAGCCGCTGTACCCACCTCAAGGTGTGTACACACGGCCTCAGCTTTTTAGTCACTTCACGGAGTATTAAATGAGTGCCATTCAATCTGTCAGCAGGCGAAACTACAGCGCAATGGCAACCAAAAAAGATACGTCTTTAAAGTACAGGTGCAGAGACTTTACGGTCCATTACAGCGCCCTAATTCGCTAGCCGGCCCCTGTAACCCCCTAAGCCAGCACATTCTGTCGGTGTCTGGTGTCATTATCAGGTGGACGGCCACACTGCAGCGGAGGGTCGACGATACCCAAAGCCTAAAGTGTCACAAAGCACTAGCTAGCTGGGCTAAAGCTGCACCGAAATACTCACACGTTACAATTGGCTTGTTTTCCATTGTGTAGATTATTGGCTTCTCCTCATGAGACTCCATGGACTCCGACTGTCAGCAATAGCCCTCCATGTAAATGTCAACTAAATCACTGTTGTTATTATTAACGCACTAATGCAGTAACGCTCGGGCCCTTTCTCCATCTACTTCCTGTATGTCCATCATGTGATGACGACTTCCGGTACACTTTCGATCTCTTAAAGGAAATTGAAAAAATCCATCCTTCTATTTGGCAGAGACCTAAAAGGGGTGGTGTGTCATAAATTAAATTCATATCGTTTATGACTGATTTTTATATGTTGTTTTAAACAAAATTGCAGGAATACCTACTCGGTTACTCGGGGGTCTTAGGAATAGCATGTACTCTTTTCAGAAAAATACAGAGACATGAACATAATATTGTTCATTTATGTAGACTGACCACATTTACTGGAGCAAAATTGATAGAAATCGGAATATTAGGCAACTGGAAAGGATAGGGTAATGTTACTCAAATTTACTTACTTAAGCATAAGAATATAACAGTAGAGGGGAAGTCGATAATGGTATATAGTAACTAACATTTTTGCTGTATGTCTTCCTAGCCTTAAGACAGGGGTAGACAGTCCTATCCTCAAAGGGCCAGTGCCTATGCAGGTTTTTGGGATAACCTGTAGGTCAGCTGTGCAAACCATGGTCTGAGGACTCTTCAGCCAATCAGTCGTCTAATTAGTCATTTAATTAGGGAGTTGCAGCAAAAACCCTCACACACAACTGCCCTTTCAGGGTAAAATTGCTTACCCCTGCCTTAAGGCAATAAAGCCGTAGTTTAGTGGGCTTCTGTTGCGCATACACACCGAAGCGTTTTTAAAAATATATCACAACTAATGCTTAGAGCTTTTTTTAAGTTAATGTAATGCTGAAGATTATTCTTCTATGATTTGCACCTCAAAAAAATTCGTTCCGTTCTTGCAGTTCCATGTGATTGACTATATATTTACGATACGATATCTTGAAATAGTTTTCCACTGTCGGACCAAATCAACTGTATAATCAATGCACAATATGATGTTATAATCGTTGCCTAATTGAGTAAGCACAAAAATCTCAGCGTAAATGTGTTATGGTCTTAATGAATACCGACAACCTTCTTTTCAGTCCGGAAACTTGAAATTCATAAGGGAAGAAAGCAGCTCTGTTTGCGTTAGTCTAGGAAGTCGTTTTATTTAATTCATTTGGGGTAAAACGTACAATGTAAGTCGTGTCCCATGGCGCAGATGAACCTGTTGTGCAGCCACTTAGGAAGCAAATCCCTGAATGTTATCACACATTACCGCAAATCATGCAAAAATAATAACAAAAAATAAGAATACCACCCAGGCAGCCAAAATATAATTGGTTACATTTGTACATCAGGCATAATTTTTTACTCTTCACATAGGAAGATACGAGTTTATAGATTCATTAAAAGTCTAACTGAAATCAAACCGTTTTAACTGCATTAAGTGTATGCGTAAGTCCCATTGATTTTTCATAGAGGGCTGTATCCTCTTCTTCCCTTTGACAAGTGACAAAATTGTTTTCTATTTTGACTTCAAGCCGCTTTGCATTAATTTGATGAGACTTCTTGTTGGCGCCTCCCACCCCAAAAAAACTTGCTGGGGGGCGGGCTCCTGGTTGCTGGGAAGGTGGGTGTGGGGTCACTCAGGGAAAGTGAGTGTCACCTCAATAACATGTGACCACTATGCCGGAGGAAGCCTGCTAGTCACTTCTGGTTTCCGCACAGAACTCTGGACCTGACACTGTAGCCAGATGGCCCTAATTGGTCCACCATCCTAAATTCCTCTCACCAATCATACGAAGATATTCTAGATCTCAAATCGTTTCATTTTTTAAAGAATCCTTTTGCCAAGGAGGTGCACTCAAAATAACTGACCAGCAACATAAGATTAACGCATGACATTTTGTCTGACGTAAAGTGTCAGTCGATTTGGTCATTTACTCTTTAATGTTCTGAATTTAATAAACAAATACAGTTATGTCAGTTACTAAAATATGAAAGTTTGTTCTCTATAATAGTTTATTTATAGTTTCAAAAGAATATATATATATATAACAAAAAATTCTATGTGGTTAAAGTAAGTTTTCAGTAAAAACTTCTAGTATAACACAGGTAACGCTTACATCTCTCTCTGCTTCATCCAGGTTACTCATCAGGACAAATGTCAACGGAAGGCTGTTCAGATACCTGAGGGAGGAGTAACGGTGGGACTTTTAGGCTGAACCTCGCCCTTCTCATTTCAGTACAATGCTAACATGAAAGTTTGCTCATTTAGTATCACATTAAATACAGAGAGGGCTGAAGATAGCCACAGCTTTGAACATGCAGGTAGGTCAGTTTGAAGAGACAAGCCCCCCCCCCCCCCCCAAGATCTCTCCAGCCTTTTAGAGAACAGATCCACAGCTTAACACAGCTTTAGGAAGAAACGTATCAAATTAAACTTTTAAAATCCTTTCTGAGTGCAGGAATCTGCGAGCCTCTTTGGCATACCGCTGCCATCTCACAGGCAGCTACTCGTGCGGAGTTACAGTGGCTGCCGCACATGCATATACTCCAAGCCCAGGCTTGCACAGATCTTTCCTCTAGAAAGTGTTAATCACACAGAACCTGCTCACTGGCAATCAAACTCAACAGAAAACAATGAACAGATCATCACCCTCCATCTTCCCCCCAGCCAAAGACATTGCGTCTCATGGTTCCTTCCACATCACAGCTCTACTGAGATACTGGTTCATTGGCATGACGGGTGATAAATGGTCAAAGGTGAAAAGAGACAGGTGTTTTTCAGTGGACTCTTCACCGTTATGCAGTGTGACTGACTCCTGTGCTGAACATTTGTTTAAACGCTTCATTTTATAGCAGTACCCCTGCCACTAAATTACCCCATTTTACAGTAAACACAAATAGAAGCAAAGTGGATGGGAGCTCCAGCCATGTCACAAAAGTCATTCACCAAAAATTAACTGAATTACTGGAGACAATGAAAAAAGTAAATCAATGAATGAATGCAAATAAAATTATTAACGAAGGCTTTTTTGTTGTAAGCTGCCTGTTAGTGGTGCATGATTATGTACAATTTTCAGCTATTATCCAGTGACTAACGGGGGGGGGGGGGTAACTGAACCAAGAGAAGGCAGACACTATTATTGCTACAACAAAATAATTTTGACGAGAATCTTTATACATTAAGCAATGGAACGGGGTCTCCTAACTCTGACGGCCTTGTGGTTCCTTCACTAGGAGTGTCGTTTTCCAGAACAGTAGCAAAAACTTCTCCTAAAACAGAGTACAGGCTCTGGAGTCTCTCATGAGCACGTGGGAGAAGAAGAGGAGGAGATAGAGCCATATTTTCTCTCTCCATCTATTGCATCTGACTATGATCTACTCTTCATTTTGATCACTTTCAGCAACACAGAGGAGGAAACAGGAATGGCTCAAAGAGAAAAGGAGTCAAACTGGAAAGTGTGGAAAAGCCATTATGGAATTTGAAGGAAAATTTCACTGTGACACAGAACGCAGGTTCCTGTGTGTAAAGGCTGTTGATACACAATACAGGAGGCAAAGAGAATTTCCAGATACTGTAGTCCCCCTGGTTCCCTGATGTTTTTGCTGCAAACGAGGTAGAGAGCGACACCTCTGGCAGAAAGTTGACACTGACAGGTCTGTGTGAAAGCCTACTGGCACTATAGCACAAGTGCCCACCTGGTATCAATACCCATGATGCCACAGCTGCTAGCATGCTTGGCATGGGATAGGGAGGGAGCAAAAAAATTCAAAATCAGTGGTCGCTACATTGATTTGCTAGGGGTGTCACATTCATATACTGTCCCACCCTCTGTCTCCAACATGAGCCCAGGCTCTAGAGGGCGCTCTTGCCTTCAGCTACATGTTTTTAGGGAATTCCTTTAACACAGTCATAGGGATGGGTGTCAGATTTCAGGACTGAGGCACCTTTTCCACCTGTTTTTGTCTCGCCTCATTGGGGAAAACAGCTGTTAGTCAAAGAAATGAGCAATGGGAGACAGCTGGTGGCCAGATAACACAATATATGCATTCATGGGTATGTCATAGAGAGGGGGGGGAAGGAGGAGAACAATCAAATTGCTAGAAAGCTGAGCATACACAAACAGGCCACAGAAATAAAAGCCCCCAATGGCATGCTGTTAAGCAGGACTATTATAGGATGTCAGAATATCGCAACTATGCAAACAGTTTATTAATATTCAAGAGTGGTGAGGTGACCTCACTCTGTTAATGATATGTGCAGATCTGCCATGACCACCATTTTGAAACACAGAAAACAGACCAGCATTGCTGCCTACTCTGGAACATGTCCCAGCAGAGGAAGAGGAGAATCTCAGCAGGATGAGGAAGCAACCTGGAGTGCTGGGTCTCCGCAGGAGGCTATTAAGCAGCAGGCCAAAGACGTGCATCTCCCCATAACCCACCCCAAAAACAACAATAATTATTTTTAAAAGAGCAAAAAAAAGTTCAAAATAATGGAGGGAAAAGCAGCTGTGACTCTGAATCTGAGTCCTGTCTGGCCAGTGGTGAAGGTACAGGTGGGGACAGGAGGAGTCATTCCCTCTGTCAGTGAACAGATGACAGAACCAGGAGGTAGTGACTCCAGGGAGGGGGGGCCAGACCCACCCCCCTCCGCCCTCAGTGTCCGTCTGCCAGTTCAGTGGCATGTCTGGTGTGGATGGAACCACACAGGATCAGGCTTGCAGAAAGTCATTGCAGATCATAATTATTACTACTCTGAATTATGTGTAATCACTATTAACCCCCAACCCCAACCCAAGCGTGCTTCCATGCCCTTAAAGAGAATAAAAAAGGGGCTGTGACCATGCAGAGACCGCATGGTCACGGCATGGCGACCGCGTGCCTCTAGTTCTCCTTCTTTGCCTCTTGGTTGCCGTAGCTAGAACCTGTTTTCTTGACCTCGGTGACCCCAATGAGACGCCGCACTGCTATGGAGGCTGGTAGGGGAGACAGACAGACAAACAGACAAAGACGTTTCATTAGACACAACAGCAGCATCCAGGGCCTCCTCTACTCACAGCTGTCCTTCTGGAGACTAAATATAAATTAAATGGAATGTACTTCATATTAAAAGTCTAGACATAGTTCTGGCAGCCATTGTGTTCGTTTGTGATAGAGCTCATTCAACTGCACTGTAGCATTGTAATCAATTTCAACAATGAGTACGATTCTGCAGCCATGAAATAGTTACTTTTACATTAACTACACAATTTCATTATTAGCAAACAAGATGTCAGCTAGGAAAGCAGGTTAAAATTACTACAGCAGCTACATTTTATGTGGTTCAGTTGTCGGCTGGATTAAGAATTACCTGAATTTTGATTTTGTTTACAAGGATACGGTAGGTGGAATATCGCCTAATAATCTGGTTAATCCATAATCCAGCAGACCTATTAAGTGATCTGAGATGTTTGGCAATTTATGTGACAGCCAGGTTGTTTGTTAGGTCACATATTAACTTGACCACCAGGACATTTTGGTGGTGCAGCAAAGTACAGTCATCCCCTTCACATTTGTGAGGGTTTGGAGCAGGAGATCCCACAAATGTGAAAATTCAAGAATAATACTTGGGCACCCCTAATCTCAACCCATAACAATCTTCTAGCCTGACAGATAACGTACAAATTCTATTTATTGTTAGAGGAGGACAGTTCAGCTCCAGAAAGTACAAATCCAGACCAAGGTTTTGTTTCAACCAATCAGTTGAGTACTCTGTAACTTTGACTCCTTATATTGAACTGGTTGGTTGAAACAAAATCTTGGCCTGGATTTGTACTTTCTGGACCTGAACTTTCCAGCTCTGTTTATTACCAATTTCTAAACAAACAGTATCACACTTGCAGACTTTCCACTACAAAGCATATCTAACCCATTTGCCTTTACAGTCCTCTTCCTCTCAGGAAAACGTTCAGAAGCATTGTGAGCACTACGTTTCGGACCCATAATTTAATATGCAAAATTACCGGAACTGAAAAGTTTATAAGTTACTGGGAGAAACTCCAGTAATTCCACGGTCACAAAGACAGCAACACGCAAGTGAACCTGGTTGCAAAGATGCGCGGCTACGTAGAGCACAGTTACATATTTATTTTTAGACCAAAAATAACTTTTAATATCAAAGACATAGTATGTACTTAGTCTAACATTTATTAAATAACACTGACATTTATATATCATTTTATGTGATCCAAATCATTTTCAGAATTGTCTATATATTTTTCACTTTTGCATCTTCTGCAAGTTTCTGCCACCTTTCAGCTCCAAAATATTCTCATTTAATTGTTCATGGACTACTTGCAAATAACCAAGACTGAGAATGTCAAATCTGAGGGGGCAACTGTACTGAATTTTAACAGAGAGAGACTGTCGTGGTGGCATGAGTGGACAGGATAACTGGAGACACAATGACAACGATCCATAGCAGACCATCTAGAAGAGGCTGAAATGACACCATTCTGATTTGATCAATATTTTAACGCCACAGGAAGGACAGCATCCTGGTAACAGCTTCCTAAGGTTGCAGCTGTATTTACAGTAACGTCATAACCAATCCTAAGCCTGAGGGTTATTACAGGAGGTCATTTTGTTCATAGTGGGTATGATGTCATAGTGATGACTGTGAGGTCACAGTGCAACGTGTGCATGGTCATGCTGGGGGCCAAACAGCCCATGCCAAAACTGCACCGAAAGGACAAAGTAGTGCCAACCTATGATGATGAAGAGGACGAAGCCGATGATGAGAAGGGGCGAGCCGCTGACCGCCACTCCATAGGCGAAGTTGATGAGGGGCGAGAGCAAAAGAGTGGCCCAGAACAGGAAGTTGAGCAGCGTCCAGGGCCGACGTGAGGGTTTGAATGAGGAGCCGGGAAAAATGCCTTCTTTTATATACTGCTCCTGTAGTGCATCCTAGGAGAAAAGATGAGAGAAAGAAAAAACATGACATGATAAGGAGATAATGGTGGAGTGCAGGAATCACAGGCTAGAGGAGACAAACTGTGATTTTGTTGCCATAAACCCAGCAGCAGCCCTGCTAGTAGACTCTTGAGGAAGATTCATAACCTTAATTACTGTAATAAAATACCCAGCTGTACAAAAGAACACATAAATACACAAATGACTATGAGAATAACGGGTCTTTATATTTTATAAGATCACTTGTGCCTCCAGAAAATACCATTAAACAGCCCAGACTGATCAAGGACATTACATTCATTTCCTCTAATTCTGCACAGCAAATGTGGAAAATGTGTGGGTTAGAGATGCGCGGATGGCGGTTATATCCGCGGGCGCTGCGGATAATCCACAGGTTGGGTGGGTCGGGTAATAAAAAAATACATTTTAATTAATTGCGGGTGGATGAGATAAATCATTAATGATGCAAATATCAACTACATTCTCTAAAATACGAACATGTTTTAAATGCATTTTTCATCAGGCAGACAGTCGCTAATTTGCGCTCTCGTTTTAAAAAAATACGTGCTTGCCGGGAGGAGGGGGGTCCATTTCTTAAAGCAGAAATGGAGGCGAAACAGCTCCGAGAGAGACTAAAAAAGGGAGAATTAAAAACAAAACAAAAGGAAGGAAAGAAAAGTGCTGTGTGGGAGCGGTTTAGCGAAGTGCCTATCGCCTGTATAAGTGCCTACGAGTTTTTTTTGGGGAAAAAAGTTCTTAATTGTTCTCTCTAGTTTTTTTTAATCTGTTTGGAAGCATAATATTCTGTATTATTTGAATAGATAGGGCTAATAAATTTGCCGTTATCCAGTCATTGTGTGTTTATGTGTTGCAGCGACAGAAACGGTGATATTCCCATTAAAGTCTGAATGGAGTAGGCCTTGTTTATTTTATTGAGAAAATGTTGGTTAATCTGGCCAAAGACAAAATTTGTTTTATGAATAAATGTTCATTTAAAGCAGTAAAGATAGTATTGTTTTACTATCAGAGATGCGCAGATTAGCTCTAAAGTCACTGAATCTGCTGTTAAAAACGAAGCGGGTGCGGATATCTATATCAGAGAAAATTATAGGTGCGGGCGGGTGGCGGGTGGATGATTTGTTTAAAGCCGCAGATTCGGGTGACATTTTAGCTGATCCGCGCATCTCTGGTGTGGGTGTATGAGACATTAAGCCTATGAATAATGAAGAAAGGGGGGAGAATGTGACCTTTTCCTGGTACAATGTGTGAAGCCAGGTTGAACATTCCTGCTCATCCTCTGGAATCTCCTCCACAGGGAACCGCCTGTGGGGACAGAGGACAGGGTCTGAACAGAGGAGTGGGTATTGTGTGCAATAGTACACTCTGGCCACAAGGAGTCAGCAGTCACACAGAATAGGGACCATAGCACTGCACAGCTATGACTTGATCATATCATCATATGATCACACTTCAGTGAGCATATGTAAAGACTTTCATCTATTCTTTTTACATTTAAAAAGGTCACTGAGTTTGATGGGTGACTTTGACAATTTTAATGGTTGCTGGTATCATTTAAATAGTAATTTAAATAATTATTGAAACAGCAACATAAATGACCAAATAATCATATAAATGACAGCTTAAATTATAATTATAAATGACATCTTTATTGAATATTGTCACAAAACACCCTCCATACATTTAGTGATTGGCTCCTCAATCCTATCTCATGACTGAAACCTTCCATAGTAATATTAAGTAACGGTTAATGAGGACAGGTCTTGGTCCTCAACCTGAAGCAGTTTGTTGTCTATGTGATCTGTAGCAATTTCTTTGAATTTGATTTACTACTGTGATTCGCTGGCTGGTACAATGTGTGCGGTAACGGAAAATTAATCAATACCCATCCAACCAATCAGATTTGAGAATTCACCATGCTGTGTTATAAACCACTGTTAATAATAATAGCAGTTGAGGTTGGTCTGTTGGCAGAGAAGTAGGCAGCACCTGAGACTCATGTCTGCCTTGTACTGCTCCCCATTTATGATGCCCAGTAGCGTTGGGTTCTTCTTATCCTTGAAGTTGAGTGTGACATCATAAACTGCAGACACTGGGGACCAGGAGAAAGTTGGAGTGAGCTGAGAGGGGAGGCTGGAGGGGGCACACAATCTCGCGGCAGCATCATAACCAGGCTGATCTACAGTGGGTACTGGGGGGGGGGGGCGCTCCTGTTACCTACCAAGAGGTGACATAATGGACCTGGTGGTCAGATCCAAGGACAGGATGCCCCACTGGAATTTCACAGTAAACCTATTGCTTGTTCTTTGTGAAGTCAACCCTCCGCGCAGGGTCATGATCTGCTAGACCATCAGCAATAACAAAGTAGGTCCCAACAGCTAATCTGCATTTTATAGGCATGCTGCAGAAATCTTAGCCTTCTTCACAAGGTTAATCTGACTAGATGATTTTCTTCTTAAATCAGCCAAATAAAATTAGCGAACTACCAAATCCAATGCACTATAAGACTGACAGACATATGCATGCTCCTTCATCATGTGCTTACAGAGTAAAAGGCCTTCGTGTGTCGAGCCGAGACTGGCAGAGGACACCAGCTGGGCCTCCTCTCATTTCTACAACAGTCTCTTTCGCGTTAGTTTTGCTCAGCTGGTCACACGATGTTATGCAGCTTCACCCCAGGAACAAACAAGTGCTTTGTGCACTGGCTAACTGAAGAGCCAGGGTGCTGGCAGAGGCGGGAGAAGTCACACTGTGCCTGTATCTGAAATATCTAAGAGGCTTTCCCCGGCGCCCCCACCTGTCCCCTTGAGGCACTGCAGCGTGGTGGTGAAGCCCTTGGTTCTAGGTAAGAGGTGGTACTTGAGCTTGGGCAGGCCTTTGCTCTCCGCCACCTGCATGCTGATCTGGTGCTTCTTCTCTGTGAAGCGAGTTCCCTCACAGTAGAGCAAGAACTGTAGGAAGTCATCAAACAACCACCATCTTACGTTACCACTGAAATACTCAACCCTCTTCATGGTTTTTAAACAGGATTTCATTTTTCCTAGCAAAGAAGCTGCATATTTGCCCTGTCATATCTGCCCCAGTGTTGGCCCTATGAATCATGGTCATGAAAGAGCAGGTCCCCTAGGAATTATTTTAGTTTTGCATGTTGGCTCAATAGATAATCTCCAGGTTTTGTCTATATCTGGATGCCATATGACCTCATGACACAGATTAACCTTTGACCTCTAACCTACAACCTAGCCTTATGGGAGGTGCCATGCAGGCATTTGGAACAGTGTTCAAAGGCACATTGACAGCTGGCCTGGATTTGTGCACAGTGGACACTCCACACTAAATGCAGCCATGCTAATCTGCCTACTGTGTCCCAAATGGCCACCGTTGGTGAACGGCATTGGAAGACACAATGCCTCCGAGAGCCATGGTGAGGGAGACCAAGAGGAGATAACCTAGAGTTCCTCTGGACCTGGAGCCACAGAATGAGCCGGGTTTGTATGCCCAGTGTGTTTATGAAGTACCTTAACAGGCTTTACAGTACATATCATATCTATAATAACCCCAAGAGCACATAGATGTCCTTCATGAGCTTGCAGATTCTCACTTGTTTCTATGCAATGACAGGAGTGTGCATGTTACCTCTAACTTACCCACATGAACTCTGGGTAATCTCGAAGTCTCTCCAGCCCACTGAAAACGGTATTTCTGTCCTCTTCCCATTTTCTCTTGCAGAACACTATCTCCAGGAAGTACCAGGTCCAGCCAATCAAAGGGACCTTCAGAAGCTCGTGTTTGGCCAGAACTTTGGAGCTCTGATGAGAAAAGAGAGAATATCACAAGACCGGAAGCAAAAATACCAATATAATGCCACGTTCTGATGTACTGCTGCACAGACACTCACGCCCAGAACCCCGAAGCGTTCACACATAGTCCAGCCACACAGGAAGTCGATCTCAAAGTTGTGATTGAGGATGATGATGACATGCTCCTTTCCCAGTTTGTCCAAGGTGGCCTTGTCAGTGTAGAGTGTGCAGTCCGTACAGGACCACCACTCCAGCAGCATCACCAGTTCTAGGGCACGGCGGAGATGGAGAGCTGGTGAACATAGGTCACCATCACAAGTCACATGACATACACATGGTTTGAGGGCTGACTCACGGCTCCAGAGGGAATAGGCCAGCCTGCAGTTGATGCGGCGGTAAAGCTGCCTGTTGAAGGGCCACAGGACGCACGTGCACAGCTGGATGAAGTTGATTATGAGGCCGCTCACCACGAACACGAAGCTGATGAGCAGCTGCAGGATGAACTGCGTCTTCAGGTAGGAGATCAGACCCATGGCGAGAGGCAGAAGTGTGTGCCTAGCCCCTCGTGCTGCGATACACCTGCGGGACAATGGAAGCATGAAGCTAACATGGATTTATCTCCACTGACATTGTCTGACATATATGGCAGCTCCACCTACTGGTCTGACAGAAGGAACACAGAAATGTATCACATCCAGATATAGAGTGGAACCCTTCAAAGTACCCTTTTAACAGACAGACCATTCTGAGCCCCCTTTTCTACAGAGATCTCATTATAATATGCTACGCTTACCGACAAGCACCTTCCTCAAGGGGACCCTTCGGTGCCATCTATATATCACCTATATTGCAGGATACTACATCAGCAAGGACATGCCTACACATAGCGAGGTCAAAGTCCCTGATGCCTGCTGCCCATCAAAAAACCCTATTAATTTCTTCCAGTCAGAGGGCAATACAGGAAAAGACAACATTGCCTAAATAGTAGTGATCAGCGTGTAAGAGAAATTCAGGCCATGGACACTCAACTAAACCGCACAGACTGCTGGCAGACATGTCAATAAAACCGGTGTGGAAACATCACAGGATCAAGCTTTACAAAGTCAGCCAGGGTTTCCAACGGTTATCTTACAGTTTCTGTGTCGCAGCCAAAACTGTCAGGCAGCCACAAAGAGAGGATCAAGCTCCTCACAAACGTCCACTGCTGGCCAGACCTGTCGTACAATAAAGCTTTTGTCTTTCCATGAAATTTAATCACCAGAACTTAAAACTTCATTATCTGGTGTTTTTGTTCTCAGCTGTAATCATAGGTTATTATTAATAAATTTTATATACACATACAAAAAAATGCTAAAAAAGGGAACTTAACCGGCAACTGCAGCCACAGGGGGTGGTGTGTGACTTGGGGGCGTAGGGGTCTATGCCCATGACCAGAAAGGTCGTGGGTTTGAATCCCAAGGCTGGCAGAGTGATCTTATCACTACTGAACCCTTGAGCAAGGCTGTTAACCCAGCCTGCTACAGGGACGCCAGAGGACCCTGCGCTCTGACCCCAAGGTTTCCACACTCGTACATCACTGTGGACAAAAACCCACTGATGACGAATGTGAAACCTACACCACAGTCCTTTATTGTAGCACCAGCTTGGTACTCGGCCTGAAAAGGACACCAACACAGAGGCGAGGCTGAGCGCCTCAGACCAAACATCTCAGGCTGGGCATGTCGGCTGGGTGGCTCAGACCAAACATCTTGGGCAGGGCGCCTCAGACCAAACATCTCAGGCTGGGCGTCCCAGACCAAACGCCTCGGGCCGGGCATCTCAGACCAAACGTTTTGGGCCGGGCGTCTCAGACCAAATGTCTCGGGCCGGGCATCCAGCCTGACGCATCCTGTCTCTCCTGCACGAATTTGACACTCTAACTAGCCTTTTTGGGGATCCTCCACATTTTTGTTTTAAAATTTCACAAGAAAGATAAGCAATACTGCAGGTACTGAGGCAGACAAAGTAGCTCTGCACAAACCACACTGCGCTCTCACTCCAGTCACGCTTTCATTCGAAGCGGCTTATGTGACCAGCAATCCGACCCATTTATACGCCAGACAGGTCACTGGACTCCCAGCGCTACTCAGCTGGCAGTGGTGCTCTGATGTGTACATTTTGGCCCATACAGTTAACAGATATGTTTTTGTCTATTACCGATACTGATAAATACTAACCTTTGAGCTCCACGAATCTGCAGTGAAACTGAAGTGGGTGACGCTACTTCTTAAGATCCTGTGAATGTGTATAGCAGCTACGTCATATAATGCAGGCAGTGAGACGTCAGTGAAGTAGAGCCAAATCGGGAGACTGTAGTGAGCTTCTAAGTGGTGAATGATTATTTTTATTCGCTGCAGAAAGTATCCATACATTCATATGTTAACTAAAGTCTAAATATAAGTGGCCATGACAGACACATCCGACCGATGCTGATGTCCTGATTTTTAACAAACATCAGCTGACAGCTATATGTTCAGAGATGTAACATGCATCAACAGTGTTCACAGAAAGTCTTGGAATGCTTGCTTATTTTTGTAAAAACATTGCAAATTTATTGGTTTTATAACAAAAGTAATTACAGTGTTACCTCAGTTCTCGAACTCATTAGAACTCAAGTTTCTTAAAAGTCGAACCAACCAGTTAAAAAAAAAAAATTACCTAGAGCTCGATCTGAATCTCAGAAGTCAAACCGTGAACGCCGACCTAAGATAACTTGTACACACGGGGAAATGAGTCACGCGGCACATCTCTCAGCGGAAACAAAGGGTAACGCTTCAGTCTCAGCCTCGCATTAGCTGTGATAGCATCGTTCATGTTTACACTAGCTGAATACACATATTTAGACAGTAAAGATACATTTAGACAATGATAGACAGTTTTTAGTAATTATTATTATATAATAAAATAAATTTTTAAATAAAGATTTCTTATTCGTTATTTTAATATTAATGATAAACCATTAATACATTTAATTATAATAATATTGTCGTGCTGAGCGGGGACGGAACGGAGACAAAGGCGCAGACGTCAGGGTATCAGGGAATACGGGGTTTAATTACAGGAAAGGCAGGCAAAACGCAGACGGACAATACAATGACCAGACTGGGGAAACAAACTGAAACGCGGACGAAATACAGAGGACTAATGACAACAACCAGAAACAGCTGATCACACGGGGATTCCACACGGGGTTAACGAGGGGGCGTGGCACACGGAAGGAGCGGACGATCAGGGCAGGACACATTGTTTGGATACATTTATTTTCTTACTTTACAAATTACTGTTTTGATATATGTGTTTAGATGTGTTCAGTACAGTATAAGCTCTTCTTGTTTTGTCCGGTTCATTTTGTGTTTAAATGTTTAAAAAAAAACATATTTAGGTGTAATTTTTCCATTATTTCTTATGGGGAGAATTCGATCACAACTCGAACTTTTTAGGATTCGATCCGGAGTTCTTAACAGATTAAATTCGAGTTCTGAGGTACCACTGTATGTTATTCATTACATAAAATATTTATCACATTAGAAACAATAAGTAAGTAAGTAGTAAGTAAAACATTAATTTCCAGTAGTAATAAATTGGAACTCACATTATAGTTCTTAAAGATCTGTTCTGAGTTTAAAAGTTAATTGACAAGCAGCCTTACTGGGTGCTTTTTATTAGTAACACCTTCGCAGTAACATAAAACACCAAACATTGTGTTTGGTATCCCTTTGAGAGCCACTGACTACAATTGCAATTAATAGCAAAATTGCCAGAACAGAACTGAATAAGTCAGACAAAAAAAAATTATGACACAATAAAAACAAAATATCTGTGCACAAGATATGTACAGAAGTAATAAACATTACTTGTTTGGGAAATTGAAACCAATAAATTTGTAACATTTTGACAGAATTAAGCAAGCTTCCCAAGACTTTATGTGAGCACTGTGTATCAGGTGAGATGTAATCCTGCAAACTACTTGGACACAGGACTCTTGTCTGCCGTTGTGGCTCATGCTGCTCACTCACCGCGGCAGATTTCCTTCACAGGCCTCTTTTACAGGGTCCCTCACTCAGAACAACAGACCTGGAGAGAGATGGAGAGGCGCCATTACCACATAGATCAGCAATACAGATCTGCTAAATTATCACAGCAACAAAGCACTACAGCCCATTTAAAGCAACACAGACTGCGAGTTTTAAGGAATGAGATGAGAGATTGAAGCGTGAAGAAAAGGCGGGAAAGTGGGTTGAAATCCTTCAAATGTTAAATCCATCGCATATATTACCAGAACCTCTCTTTAAAAAGATCATTTAGGCAAAGGTCAACTGTGAGGGAAGTGAATAACAGCAACTACGAGGTTGGTATGTCAAACTGAGGCCAGTGATTATCTACTAGGCCCCATACAGCCAAAGAGAAAACAAGAGCAGGGACACTCATAACCAAACATCACTGTGAAGGGTCTCAGATAGGAGGAGCTTCAACCACAATGGCATGACGGTGTCTGATGATGGCACACACACACACACACACACACACACACACACACACACACACACACACACACATTCCTTCTCTAAGGTCATGGGAGAAAGGCAGAGGGAGGCACATGCCTGCACGTAGCTTTATGAGACACACTCAGCCCCCAAACGGCAAGGGACACGCAGCCAAGCCCCCCCAAACCATCCTGGCACCCCTGGCCCCGGGGCCAAAACAGCAGCTTAACCTAACCCTAACCCTAAACTAAACCTACCCCTACCCCTGTAAACTTCCCCTTTCCGAAGAGAGGGCAACTCAGTGGAAGTGAATACAGGAATCCCGTGGAAGCAGTTCAATGAAAAAGGAGTCACAGGAAACAAGAGCGCGGTGCGGAGAGGACATGCATGCTATCTGCACCACGTTCACACCCCCATCTCCCTCCCCAGGGTGAGACTCTGATCTTGTCGAAGATATTTCCAAATTCTGATTCGCCCATAACTTCCATTTTTCTGTTCTGAAAAGTGTTGAGAAGCTTTGTTTTAAGGTGACAGTAAAGCCCCAGAGACAGAACTTCCAGCTCGTTACTGATGCGATAAAGATCTTACAAGTTTCCCAGCTTAAAATGTGATACAGCTCAACCGCTTTTTCCATTCAGCTGTGAGATATCTGAACTGCACTTTAGGACTTCAGACAGTTGGTAGATACACATACTCATAGAAGCACACACAGACAAAGAGAAAGAGAGACAGACAGAGAGAGAGGCACACACACACACAGAAGCAGACACAGACACGCACACATTTTGCTAAAACACATTCAAGGTAACCTGGCATATGCACACATACAGGCCATCAAACTGCTGCCAATCTGCCACCCCACCACCACAAGACTCTAGCAAGGTACCTGTGAGAAAGAGGCAAGCATCAGGATGTCTGACGGGCAGCACTGCAGGACCACTCACCACAACGTCCGCTTAAGATCAGAACTGCACAAAGTATGGATCCGACATGAGGGACGCTTCATGTCGAGGAGCTCTGTTATCACATCACACAGCATATGCTGTGGGTCAGAGTTCACAGCCCCATGCCATGTAGGTGACCGCTGGGAGGGGAGTCAGCTTACGCGTGCCTCAAGGGAAACGTGCCAGGGCATCGAGTCAGACCTCCCACAGAGCAGTCACCCCATATGCTGTCGCAATCGCCCTTCCCAATTGGATGGGAGCCCAGCACATGACCGGGATGGACACACCCACGCTTATGCATACAGATGTGCTCTTCATGCTCAAGTCAGTGTTAAGAGGCAGATATAGCATTGCAGTTTAAGCCTTAGTACATTAGGGTACAACAGCAGTGTCCCCTATGAGGAAAACCAAAATACTGAAAGACAAGTTAGGGAAGAGAGACCCAGTCACTATTACAATATGAAACTGAACAGTCAGATAATGGAAGACAGCACCCAACACAAACACAAACACACACATACAGACCTGTGGCCTGTACTACAAAGCGGGGTTACTGGCTTATCGGGGTTACTGGCTTATTTAGACTTCATATTCGTTCACTTACATTTTGCCGAGACTACCTTAAATCTGACAAGTTACCCCGATAAGCCAGTAACCCTGCTTTGTAGTACAGGCCCCTGTGCTCATAACTTTGTGGGAATCATCCATTAATATCTATGGGCAAAACCCTAATCCCAACAATGACAACCTTAACCCCTACCCAGACCTAACCTTAAACCACAAGTAGTCAAATAAAATACAAGGTTTTTTTTGGCATTTTTAGTGTTTTGGTTGCGTCGTGGCTAAGAAAGAACTGAGCCAAAAAGCCAAGCTCTCGATCTATTGGTCCATCTTTGTCCCTACCCTCACCTATGGTCATGAGCTATGGGTAATGACTGAAAGAACGAGATCGCGAATACAAGCGGCCGAAATGAGGTTTCTCCGCAGGGTGTCTGGGCTCTCCCTTAGGGATAGGGTGAGAAGTTCGGATATCCGGGAGGGCCTCAGAGTAGAACCGCTGTTTCTTCACGTCGAAAGGAGCCAGTTGAGGTGGTTTGGACATCTGGTGCGGATGCCTCCTGGGCGGCTACCCGGAGAGGTTTTCCGTGCATGTCCTACAGGGAGGAGGCCCCGGGGCAGGCCCAGGACTCGCTGGAGGGATTATATCTCTCGGCTGGCCTGGGAACGCCTCGGTGTCCCCCCCGAGGAGCTGGTGGGGTTAGCTGGGGAGAGGGAGGTCTGGGTGCCTCTACTGAAGCTGCTACCCCGCGACTCGAACCCCGGACAAGCGGTAGATGATGGATGGATGGGTTGCATCACTTAAATCCCCAGCCTGTCCCCCTGCCAAATGATCAGAAAACCACACTATAGACAACAGGAAGACAAGGAGGCCAGAGTAGCCAAGAGCATGGAAAAAAACTCCATAGTATAGCCAAGAGCACAGAGAACTGGGAGTCCAGAGTGCAAGGAAAACAAGGATTCTGGAGTATATCCAAGAGCAGAAATAACAGGCAGCCCAGTGTATAGCCAAGGGCAGGGAGTTCAGTAGGCTGTAGTGTAAGAGGTTAATGGCAGTTAAAACAAGGCCCAAGAAATGTCACATACATGGTGTTGAGGGAAAAAAAAAACAGAAATACACCATGTGAGAAAGGAGACATGAAGGATATCAGGGGAGAAAGAGAGAGACAGACAAAGAGATAGAGAGAGAGAGAGAGAGAGAGAGAGAGAGAGAGAAAGAGAGAGATCAGGACTGTAGGGCAAAGGCAGCCTCAGGCCTCAGTGTGAGCATGTGTGAAGGTCACCTAATTCATGCTGACACAGTTGGGCCCCTGGAACCCACCAACGCCCCTCCCACCCACTCATATCCCCACACACATACACTCACTTCCAGGGTTACGAGGGTGCAGCCCCTGTTTGGTGTACAAGTAAAGCAGCCAATGCCCGGGAGCCATTCTGCCCCAGCGGACGCCTGGCAGGGAGCCTGAAGCCTACAGCATGGGAGCGGAATAAAAATGGTGACCTGGGGAACACCTGCCCCCGAGAGATGGGAAAAGCCAGACAAAGCAAAAACAACAGCAAAGCCCAGTGTTACCCCGCCCAGCAGGGAGCTGATGTTAATCTCTTCCACACACACTTCTGTCTCAGCTGGTCAAAACACTCTGACAGACCTGACAGAAGATCACAGGCCACCAGAACTAGTCTTCAACAAACACATTGCTATGGGTGTGTCCAAAATCGCACACTTACACAGTAGGTACTGAATTTCATCAGAAGCCTACTACTCAACTGTTAACGCAGTACATACTGTACCTAAGTATGAGATCAGTATGCATGCATTTGGACACACTGTTGTCACCATCTTACATATTACGCGACCCAGATGGTTACTAATGGTGTAGTTTGACCTACGGTGAAAGTTAAAAAGCCACTTTATGTAACAGGGTATTGTTTTTTTACTTAGATTTGTACAGAAATTTCCTCCACCATCTTGACAAAAATTTCTGAGCATGTGATGTTTGCCATCTCTGGTTGTGGCTCCAGTGGCCTTATGGGATAGCACAGTGTTCACTGGTGGCACACTTCAGATTTTTGCAGAATGCATTATGTCATCCAGGTATCGTTCGCCTACTGTCTCATCCATACTGAGGATTAGGACATGCTGCTCACATTGTATAATATATTTTCCCTCCTACATAGCAAACAAGTATGCAATTTCAGACACTACTTAAGTTTGTCAATCACCATGGCAACAACATGACAGATTCTCTCTTCTACTTAATTTTAAGAGACGATATGGGGCAAAGCCTTCACCCTAAGGACCAGTAGTGTTTTTTCTATGACTGCAGATTCAAAAATTCTGCATGATTTCTGAAAGTTGACCCGAGGGCTCCCTGACTGATCAGTGTGATTGTACCGAAACATTCTGCAGCGAAAATGATCAGCAGGTTAGCAAAGATGTAAATCGGGGATGCAAAACTATTAAAATGGGAAGAGAAAAATATTTGGATTGCAAAAGAAAAAGTACGATTTTGATACTATAGTTCACCACAATAAAATTAATAGAATTGAGTGTCTTGAAAAGCACTATATATATATATATATATATATATATATATATATATATATATATATATATATATATATATACACATACATACACACACACACACACACACACTCATTCAGCTTATTATTTTGCATTTTTAAAGCTACACTTACAATAAATAAAACCAAACCATTGACAGAGAAGTTTGCTCAAAGGGTGCTATTTCCCTTTAAATGTAAGTTGTGTGCCATACCCAGACAGGGCAGCTATCCTGCGACAGGCATCAGGGCGATAAGGTTAGAGCTCTGGGTGTGACCATGCAGGCCAAAGGTCACCCTGTGTCATCACCGCAGACTCTGCCACAGTCACACACACAGGGTGTCGGGTCAAAGGGCAGCTCACTAATGTAATCATCTGCCACTTCCTGAGATATCCAGCTCTAGCACAAGAGAAACCATGTTAATTAGCAAACTTTAATATTCATGAGTCGTTAATAATTAATATTCATTAATGGTTCCTTCAAGAAAGAGTGTATCCCAGAGTCAATATCACTTAATTGACATTTAAATACTGATTTATGCTTAAGGAACAAACTATCCTTGTCAGGGAAGTCTTTCTAACTTCTCCCAAACACAGCTGTGGCAGTCAGCAGCGCCCAGGCTTTAAAAGCAGGACACAGGCTGGGCCTCATACGCACACAGTCATTGCTGAAAAGGGATGTCTTTCAGGCACCACAGCCTCTGAACAAAACTCTGCATATGTAGTGGAATAGGGTCATGGGCCAAAATCTGGATAAAAAGAGTTCCCCTCCTTGAAATGTGTGCTAAAGTTCACACTGAGATTTCACAATCTGCACCAAGAAGCACCAATGAATGGAACGTTAACTTCAGCGGGAAGCATTACTGATGAGAGGCTCTCTGGGTTCCACTGGCCAGCAGCCTGGGATACAGGGAGACCCCTCACCCACCATGAGAGTCGGTACCTCACAGCACCTCCTCCGTGCCTCCCGCACTCTCACTTTCCTCCGTCTATGCACAGTGATATTTAGGCAGTAGCTGGGACACGTGCTCATACGGACCTCACTGTGAGCCTGCAACCATAGCAATGGTGTAGCCATGGAAACCACACACTGAAATAACACATATGGCTGAATTTGGGGCCCCTAGTACTGACCTCTTAAACTTTCTCCTTAAAGAATCTTTGGGACAAACTGGTTGTTTTAACCTAGTATGATGATAAATTCCTGCCGTCAAGATGCAGGTGCAAATCATGCAATCAGAGCCAAGGCTGGAGCCAAGGCTGGAGCCAAGGTTCACATCACTGAGCCATCAAGCATATAGATCAGATCAAAAGCAACCCCTACACAACTTACCAAACTATGCCACTTCCCAGCAGTACCAGAGGAAAACTTACCAATAGATGTAGTAAGCCAGTGCCATGACCACCAGCGCCCCACAGATTCCCGTGAAGATCATCACGGCACCCTGGTTCAACATGGCGACTGTACCTGGCTGGGCTAAGACTTCAGACACAGAAACCAGCAACGGCTAGAGTCTATTTCTGCAATTAAGTGGTGGAAGGATGTGCTGACATCCACCAACAGGTGAAGCACACAAATCCCAGGCTGGGATTAGGATGACGTGAAGGTTACGCTTGGGGGGAAACTGGGCACTCAGCGTTTCGCCAGCTTGTGCCACCCACAGGACTAAGCAAGAAGATAGCAGGTGACACTGGCACCAGCCACAACTCTTCAGTGGGTTCCTCAAAAAGCCAATGGGAAGAAAGAGCAAGCAGAGATGCAGAAGAGAACCAGTAACCTCATTCCAATAACAACGACGAGGCAACAAATAGCAAGACTGCCCATGAGAACTTTCTTGAGCGTTGTCCTCAGGCGTAATCCCAAACAAATCAGATTAGTGCTTATTGGCTAGCCACCGGCACCCTGGATAAGTCAGATCCCATTTCCATCAATATGGTGGTAGGTGGGGGCCTGGGGGGGCAGTATGCAATGTCATGAAACTCAGCTAGCACGCCATGCTGACTGGTTCTGCCCGCTACATACGGACCCCAACAGGATAAAAGGCGGAGAAACACTGAAGAGCATTTAACCTTGAATAACAACGGCATGGCACACAGTCATTCCTCAAGAAAAAAGTGGTCTTATAATACAAGGCTTCCATTTAGCTTCTAGCTGTGCAGCCTGGCACAGCACTGAGATCTCTGGAGAGGAGGGGAGACCAGCTACAGACAGATGCCTCTAACCAACATGGATCATGCGCCTCTGGTGTCCATCACTGAACAAGGACTTTATTCCTGAGCCAGACTAATGGCTCTGTAGGGGTGGAGTTTGCAGGTTCTCCCCGTCTCTGAGTGGAATTAGGCATCTGTGAAACTGCCTTTGATGTGTGAGAGGTGAGTATCTGATGACATCATCTGTGCT